GGAGTTGGAGAGTTCTCTTAGTGAGACGTGGCCTCATTCCCCTTTCCCTCTACTCTGCTCCCGCTCCCATCACAGCGAGCACTAGCGCACATGGCAATGAACACCAGGGACTTCAAAGCAGCCATGGCCTCACTGGGAGGCTGCATAGTAGAGGAGGCTGCGCTTCAACCCTCTCCATCCCTTGTTACCTCTCTCCATCCCTCTTCACTTCTCTTAACCACAGAGAGCACTAGCACGCACATGGCAATGAACAGCAAGGATTTCAAGGCAGCCATGGCTCACTGGGAGGCTGCGCTGGCAATCAGCCCGCTGCATGCATCTGCCTGGTTCTCCTTGGGCTACTCTGCTATTCAGGTAGGCGTAGTGCGCGGGCAGCGCGATGCAGAAGAGAAAGAGGGAGAGCAAGCTGTACAGGTATGGCCGGTGCTGGCAAAATGGGAACTGCTCTGGTTGTCAGGCCTTTGCGTCCCTCTGGTTGGTTCTTTCTGGAGTATGACTTAGATATTGAGATTTTTGAGGCGCCTAAAGAATCAAGGCGAGTTTTGAGGCACCTCAAAAATTGTCTTGGTTGGCTCTTTCTGGATTACAACCTAGCTATGGACTGCGTTGAGACGACTTTTGAGTCGACTCAAAAGTCATCTCTTGGTTGGCTCTTTCTAAATTACAACCTAGCTATGGAGTGCGTTGAGACGACTTTTGAGTCGACTCAAAAGTCATCTCTTGGTTGGCTCTTTCTGGATTACAACCTAGCTATGGAGTGCGTTGAGACGAATTTTGAGTCGACTCAAAAGTCATCTCTTGGTTGGCTCTTTCTGGATTACAACCTAGCTATGGAGTGCGTTCACTTAGTAGCAGTGGGTTGAGAGACGTATCGACTGTACTAACAGGTTATGTCATAACTTCAGTCTCTAAGTCGTGATAGGCCAACAGGTGGGCTGCAGTGCGGATCCCACACACATGTTTGTTCAGCCCACCTGCGTTCATCCGTTTGACCCCTGCCTGCTTGCCACATGTCTCCCGACTCCCATTCATGTGCTGGTTGCAGGCGTGTGATGGGGACAAGGCGCTGTATGCGCTCACACGTTCAGTGCAGATCGACCCCGACAACGGGGAGGCGTGGAACAACCTGGCGGTGCTGTGAGTGCCTAGTCTATGCTGCGAGTGCTCAGGTCAGGTCATGCTTGCACAGCAATGGTCAGCAATGCATGCACGCTCATGCATGCACGCTAATGCATGCACACTAATGCATGCACGCTCATGCATGCACGCTCATGCATGCACGCTCATGCATGCACGCTCATGCATGCACGCTCATGCATGCACGCTCATGCATGCACGCTCATGCATGCACGCTCATGCATGCACGCTAATGCATGCACGCTCATGCATGCACGCTCATGCATGCACGCTCATGCATGCACGCTCATGCATGCACGCTCATGCACGCACGCTCATGCATGCACGCTCATGCATGCACGCTCATGCATGCACGCTCATGCATGCACGCTAATGCATGCACGCTCATGCATGCACGCTCATGCATGCACGCTCATGTATGCACGCTCATGCATGCACGCTCATGCATGCACGCTAATGCATGTACACTAAGGCATGCACGCTCATGCATGCACGCTCATGCATGCACCCTCATGCATGCACGCTCATGCATGCACGCTCATGCATGCACGCTCATGCATGCACGCTCATGCATGCACGCTAATGCATGCACACTAATGCATGCACGCTCATGCATGCACGCTCATGCATGCACGCACATGCATGCACACTAATGCATGCACGCTCATGCATGCACGCTCATGCATGCACGAATGCATGCACGCTCATGCTTGCACGGTCATGCATGCACGGTCATGCTTGCACGGTCATGCATGCACGCTCATGCATGCACGGTCATGCTTGGACGGTCATGCATGCACGCTCATGCATGCACGCTCATGCTTGCACGGTCATGCATGCACGCTCATGCATGCACGCTCATGCATGCACGGTCATGCTTGCACGGTCATGCATGCACGCTCATGCATGCACGCTCATGCTTGCACGGTCATGCATGCACGCTCATGCATGCACGCTCATGCTTGCACGGTCATGCATGCACGCTCATGCATGCACGGTCATGCATGCACGGTCATGCATGCACGGTCATGCATGCACGCTCATGCATGCACGCTCATGCATGCACGGTCATGCATGCACGCTCATGCATGCACGGTCATGCATGCACGCTCATGCATGCACGCTCATGCATGCACGCTCATGCATGCACGCTCATGCATGCACGCTCATGCATGCACGCTCATGCTTGCACGGTCATGCATGCACGCTCATGCATGCACGCTCATGCATGCACGCTCATGCATGCACGCTCATGCATGCACGGTCATGCATGCACGGTCATGCATGCACGCTCATGCATGCACGGTCATGCATGCACGGTCATGCTTGCACGGTCATGCATGCACGGTCATGCATGCACGGTCATGCATGCACGGTCATGCTTGCACGGTCATGCTTGCACGGTCATGCTTGCACGGTCATGCTTGCACGGTCATGCTTGCACGGTCATGCTTGCACGGTCATGCATGCACGCTCATGCATGCTCGCTCATGCATGCACGCTCATGCATGCACGCTCATGCATGCACGCTCATGCATGCACGCTAATGCATGCACGCTAATGCATGCACGCTCATGCATGCACGCTCATGCATGCACACTAATGCATGCACGCTCATGCATGCACGCTCATGCATGCACGCTAATGCATGCACGCTCATGCTTGCACGGTCATGCATGCACGGTCATGCTTGCACGGTCATGCATGCACGCTCATGCATGCACGGTCATGCTTGGACGGTCATGCATGCACGCTCATGCATGCACGCTCATGCTTGCACGGTCATGCATGCACGCTCATGCATGCACGCTCATGCATGCACGGTCATGCTTGCACGGTCATGCATGCACGCTCATGCATGCACGCTCATGCTTGCACGGTCATGCATGCACGCTCATGCATGCACGCTCATGCTTGCACGGTCATGCATGCACGCTCATGCATGCACGGTCATGCATGCACGGTCATGCATGCACGGTCATGCATGCACGCTCATGCATGCACGCTCATGCATGCACGGTCATGCATGCACGCTCATGCATGCACGGTCATGCATGCACGCTCATGCATGCACGCTCATGCATGCACGCTCATGCATGCACGCTCATGCTTGCACGGTCATGCATGCACGCTCATGCATGCACGCTCATGCATGCACGCTAATGCATGCACGCTCATGCATGCACGCTCATGCATGCACGCTCATGCATGCACGCTCATGCATGCACGCTCATGCATGCACGCTCATGCATGCACGCTCATGCATGCACGCTCATGCATGCACGGTCATGCATGCACGGTCATGCATGCACGGTCATGCTTGCACGGTCATGCATGCACGGTCATGCTTGCACGGTCATGCTTGCACGGTCATGCTTGCACGGTCATGCTTGCACGGTCATGCTTGCACGGTCATGCTTGCACGCTCATGCTTGCACGCTCATGCTTGCACGCTCATGCTTGCACGCTCATGCTTGCACGCTCATGCTTGCACGCTCATGCTTGCACGCTCATGCTTGCACGCTCATGCTTGCACGCTCATGCTTGCACGCTCATGCTTGCACGCTCATGCATGCACGCTCATGCATGCACGCTCATGCATGCACGCTCATGCATGCACGCTCATGCATGCACGCTCATGCATGCACGGTCATGCATGCACGGTCATGCATGCACGGTCATGCTTGCACGGTCATGCTTGCACGGTCATGCATGCACGGTCATGCATGCACGGTCATGCATGCACGGTCATGCTTGCACGGTCATGCTTGCACGGTCATGCTTGCACGGTCATGCTTGCACGGTCATGCTTGCACGGTCATGCTTGCACGGTCATGCTTGCACGCTCATGCTTGCACGCTCATGCATGCACGCTCATGCATGCACGCTCATGCATGCACGCTCATGCATGCACGCTCATGCATGCACGCTCATGCATGCACGCTCATGCATGCACGCTCATGCATGCACGCTCATGCATGCACGCTCATGCATGCACGCTCATGCATGCACGCTCATGCATGCACGCTCATGCATGCACGCTCATGCATGCACGGTCATGCATGCACGGTCATGCATGCACGGTCATGCTTGCACGGTCATGCTTGCACGCTCATGCTTGGACAGTCATGCATGCACGGTCATGCATGCACGCTCATGCATGCACGCTCATGCATGCACGGTCATGCATGCACGGTCATGCATGCACGCTCATGCATGCACGCTCATGCATGCACGCTCATGCATGCACGCTCATGCATGCACGCTCATGCATGCACGCTCATGCATGCACGCTCATGCATGCACGGTCATGCATGCACGGTCATGCATGCACGGTCATGCATGCACGGTCATGCATGCACGGTCATGCATGCACGGTCATGCATGCACGGTCATGCTTGCACGGTCATGCTTGCACGGTCATGCTTGCACGGTCATGCTTGCACGCTCATGCTTGCACGCTCATGCTTGCACGCTCATGCTTGCACGCTCATGCTTGCACGCTCATGCTTGCACGCTCATGCTTGCACGCTCATGCTTGCACGCTCATGCTTGCACGCTCATGCTTGCACGCTCATGCTTGCACGCTCATGCTTGCACGCTCATGCTTGCACGCTCATGCTTGCACGCTCATGCTTGCACGCTCATGCTTGCACGCTCATGCTTGCACGCTCATGCATGCACGCTCATGCATGCACGCTCATGCATGCACGCTCATGCATGCACGCTCATGCATGCACGCTCATGCATGCACGGTCATGCATGCACGGTCATGCATGCACGGTCATGCATGCACGGTCATGCATGCACGGTCATGCATGCACGGTCATGCATGCACGCTCATGCATGCACGGTCATGCATGCACGCTCATGCATGCACGCTCATGCATGCACGCTCATGCATGCACGGTCATGCATGCACGGTCATGCATGCACGGTCATGCATGCACGGTCATGCATGCACGCTCATGCATGCACGGTCATGCTTGCACGGTCATGCTTGCACGGTCATGCTTGCACGGTCATGCATGCACGGTCATGCATGCACGGTCATGCATGCACGCTCATGCATGCACGCTCATGCATGCACGCTCATGCATGCACGCTCATGCATGCACGCTCATGCATGCACGCTCATGCATGCACGCTCATGCATGCACGCTCATGCATGCACGCTCATGCATGCACGCTCATGCATGCACGCTCATGCATGCACGCTCATGCATGCACGCTCATGCATGCACGCTCATGCATGCACGCTCATGCATGCACGGTCATGCTTGCACGGTCATGCTTGGACGGTCATGCATGCACGGTCATGCATGCACGCTCATGCTTGCACGCTCATGCATGCACGCTCATGCATGCACGGTCATGCATGCACGGTCATGCATGCACGGTCATGCATGCACGCTCATGCATGCACGGTCATGCATGCACGCTCATGCATGCACGCTCATGCTTGCACGGTCATGCATGCACGGTCATGCATGCACGGTCATGCATGCACGGTCATGCATGCACGGTCATGCATGCACGGTCATGCATGCACGCTCATGCATGCACGCTCATGCATGCACGCTCATGCATGCACGCTCATGCATGCACGCTCATGCATGCACGCTCATGCATGCACGCTCATGCATGCACGCTCATGCATGCACGCTCATGCTTGCACGGTCATGCATGCACGCTCATGCATGCACGCTCATGCATGCACGCTCATGCATGCACGCTCATGCATGCACGCTCATGCATGCACGCTCATGCATGCACGGTCATGCATGCACGGTCATGCTTGCACGCTCATGCTTGCACGCTCATGCTTGCACGGTCATGCTTGCACGGTCATGCTTGCACGGTCATGCTTGCACGGTCATGCTTGCACGCTCATGCTTGCACGCTCATGCTTGCACGCTCATGCTTGCACGCTCATGCTTGCACGCTCATGCTTGCACGCTCATGCTTGCACGCTCATGCTTGCACGCTCATGCTTGCACGCTCATGCTTGCACGCTCATGCTTGCACGCTCATGCTTGCACGCTCATGCTTGCACGCTCATGCTTGCACGCTCATGCTTGCACGCTCATGCTTGCACGCTCATGCTTGCACGCTCATGCTTGCACGCTCATGCTTGCACGCTCATGCTTGCACGCTCATGCTTGCACGCTCATGCTTGCACGCTCATGCTTGCACGCTCATGCTTGCACGCTCATGCTTGCACGCTCATGCATGCACGCTCATGCATGCACGCTCATGCATGCACGCTCATGCATGCACGGTCATGCATGCACGGTCATGCATGCACGGTCATGCATGCACGGTCATGCTTGCACGCTCATGCTTGCACGCTCATGCTTGCACGCTCATGCTTGCACGCTCATGCTTGCACGCTCATGCTTGCACGCTCATGCTTGCACGCTCATGCTTGCACGCTCATGCTTGCACGCTCATGCTTGCACGCTCATGCTTGCACGCTCATGCTTGCACGCTCATGCTTGCACGCTCCTGCTTGCACGCTCCTGCTTGCACGCTCCTGCTTGCACGCTCCTGCTTGCACGCTCATGCTTGCACGCTCATGCTTGCACGCTCATGCTTGCACGCTCATGCTTGCACGCTCATGCTTGCACGCTCATGCTTGCACGCTCATGCTTGCACGCTCATGCTTGCACGCTCATGCTTGCACGCTCATGCATGCACGGTCATGCATGCACGGTCATGCATGCACGGTCATGCATGCACGGTCATGCTTGCACGGTCATGCATGCACGGTCATGCATGCACGGTCATGCATGCACGGTCATGCTTGCACGGTCATGCTTGCACGGTCATGCTTGCACGGTCATGCTTGCACGGTCATGCTTGCACGCTCATGCTTGCACGCTCATGCTTGCACGCTCATGCTTGCACGCTCATGCTTGCACGCTCATGCTTGCACGCTCATGCTTGCACGCTCATGCTTGCACGCTCATGCTTGCATGCTCATGCTTGCACGCTCATGCTTGCACGCTCATGCTTGCACGCTCATGCTTGCACGCTCATGCTTGCACGCTCATGCTTGCACGCTCATGCTTGCACGCTCATGCTTGCACGCTCATGCTTGCACGCTCATGCTTGCACGCTCATGCTTGCACGCTCATGCTTGCACGCTCATGCTTGCACGCTCGCTCATGCTTGCACGCTCATGCTTGCACGCTCATGCTTGCACGCTCATGCTTGCACGCTCATGCTTGCACGCTCATGCTTGCACGCTCATGCGTGCACGCTCATGCGTGCACGCTCATGCTTGCACGCTCATGCTTGCACGCTCATGCTTGCACGCTCATGCTTGCACGCTCATGCTTGCACGCTCATGCTTGCACGCTCATGCTTGCACGCTCATGCTTGCACGCTCATGCTTGCACGCTCATGCTTGCACGCTCATGCTTGCACGCTCATGCTTGGCTTTGCACAGCTTGGCTTTGCACAGCTTGGCTTTGCACAGCTTGGCTTTGCACAGCTTGGCTTTGCACAACTTGGCTTTGCACAACTTGGCTTTGCACAACTTGGCTTTGCACAACTTGGCTTTGCACAACTTGGCTTTGCACAACTTGGCTTTGCACAACTTGGCTTTGCACAACTTGGCTTTGCACAACTTGGCTTTGCACAACTTGGCTTTGCACAACTTGGCTTTGCACAACTTGGCTTTGCACAACTTGGCTTTGCACAACTTGGCTTTGCACAACTTGGCTTTGCACAACTTGGCTTTGCACAACTTGGCTTTGCACAACTTGGCTTTGCACAACTTGGCTTTGCACAACTTGGCTTTGCACAACTTGGCTTTGCACAACTTGGCTTTGCACAACTTGGCTTTGCACAACTTGGCTTTGCACAACTTGGCTTTGCACAACTTGGCTTTGCACAACTTGGCTTTGCACAACTTGACTGAGATTATCATGGCATGCGATGCTCGGCATTGATGTCTTGCCATGCTAGCTCATGCTCGCATCGCACAACACATCAATGCTAGCATAGCTCGTGCTCTTTCTCTTACTCATGACCAGACATATCATTTTCCGTTCACACCTTGGCTGCCATGGAAGCAACTTACCTTCTTGTCTTTCTTCCTGCCTGTCCTCCACAACTTAGATACCATTTAAACATTCACACCTTGAAACCCCCTTGGCATGGCAGCAACTTACAGCGCAACCGAATGCAAGAGGCGTTTAAGACGCTACAGGAGGCACTTAAGCACAAGTGAGTGCGATGTGGTATGAGGGAGTGCAATGGGATACGAGGAGTTGAGGTGTGTGCTCTTGCAGGAGAACTACTGTGATCCACTCCTCATCACTCCTGCTTCCCCATTGCTCCTCCCCATCGCTCCTCCCCATCGCTCCTCCCCATCGTTCCGCCCCACCACTCCGCCCCATCACTCCAACCCCTTCACACAGCTTCACCCCCGTCCCCCTCCCCCGCCTCCCACTCTCCTTTCCACAGGGGAGAGGACTGGCACCTGTGGGAAAACTTTGCGAAGGTGGCTCTGGATGTGAAGAGCTACCAGCAGGTGCGGTGGGTTGCCAGCAGGTGTGATGCGGTGCCGGCAGGTGGGGCAGGGTGCCACCAGGTAGGGTGCCATCTGGGACGTGTTATAGCATTGGGACTCTTGAAATTCAAATTGGAATCTTTTAGTATTGGGTATATAATACTTCAAGAAACTGTAAATGGTTTATATCCCCGTCCTCTCCTCTCTCCCCGCCTCCCCTGTACGTGGAACTATAGCTTCTTCTTCTTCCTCTCCTCTCAAACAAGTACTCTCAGTTGCCTCTTCCTCTCTCTCTGCTCTCCGCATCCCTTTATCACCCTTGCCCCTGGTCCTCTCTCTCCCTCCCCCCCCTACCCTCGCCCCACCCCACAGCGCCTACTTCCTCTCTCTCCCTGCTCTAACCTGCCCCCAACCCAACCCCATGCCACCTCCCCCATTCTCCCCCCACCCATTCCTCTCCCTCCTCTCTCTCTCTCCCCCCAAAGGCTGTTAGAGCAGCATCATGAGTGCTCGAGCTCACCCATTGCAAGCGAGTTGACACGGGTGCTGCTTACTTCCCTATATCTCCCCCTACTCTCTTCATCCCTTCCCCTGCCCTAAACCCCCCTCCACCTTCCCCCACTCTTCCCCCTCGCCTTCCTCTCCCCACTCTCTCTCCCCCCGAAGGTGTTGAGGGCAGCATCACGATTGCTCGAGTTGACTCAGGGAAAGCGGGTCGACACGGGTGTTGCTTCAACCCACCCTCCCCCACCCCCCACTTTCCCCTCTCTCACTCCCCCGCCCCCCAAAGGCGGTGAGAGCAGCATCACGAGTGGTGGAGCTCACTCAAGGCAAGCGGGTCGACACAACCGTGCTAGAGGGGCTGATAGGGGTGGTGGAGAGGAATAGGAGAGGCGGGAAAGGGGAGGAGGAGGAGAAGACCGGTGATGGCGAGGGAGGAAGAAGGGGAGAGGAGGGTGGAGGTGAGGGTGGTGGGGAGGGGTTGGAGGGGAGAGATGGGGATGGTGGTGAGATTGATGATTTGATGATGAGTTTACAGCCGTTGGATCTGGGCAAGATGGCAGGGGGAGAGGAGGCGGTGGGCGGGGAGGGTGGAGGAGAGGGTGGAGGAGAGGGGAATGGTGTGCCAGAAACGAATGGTGCTTATAAGGAGGATGGAGGGACGCAAGCAGGGAGTGGTGGTCCCATGAACGAAAGGGAGGCCGCCAGGCTTGAAACCGAGCTCATAAAGCTTCTGGGAAAGGTGGGATGCCGTCCTCGGTTTATGCTTGCTTCCTGCCTCTGCTGCTGCCTTTGCTGCCGTATGCTTGACATACTATGTGCATATCCTTCAGCCACCACCTCTGCTCGACCCCCACTGCCTTACTTGTCAACCCCCTCAAACCTAAACAAACACCAACAGGCGGTAGCGTCAGGAGCAGGGGTGCCGGAGATTTACTGCTTGATAGACATATCCCGTAACCACCACATCCCCTCAACCCCCCACCATTCCACTTGTCATCCCCCTCAAACCTAAACAAACACCAACAGGCGGTAGCGTCAGGAGCAGGGGTGCCGGAGATTTACTGCTTGATAGACATATCCCGTAACCACCACATCCCCTCAACCCCCCACCATTCCACTTGTCATCCCCCTCAAACCTAAACAAACACCAACAGGCGGTAGCGTCAGGAGCAGGGGTGCCGGAGATTTACTGCTTGATAGACATATCCCGTAACCACCACATCCCCTCAACCCCCCACCATTCCACTTGTCATCCCCCTAAACCTAAACAAACATCAACAGGCGGTGGCGTCAGGAGCAGGAGTGCCGGAGATTTACCGCCTGCAAGGAACCTTCCTGGAAGCCGTGGGCGATGCTGACGTGGCAGCGGAGGCCTTCCTGCGCCACGTGCGCTCTCTGCAGTCTGCCAGCTGGCAGCACGGCGAGCCAGACGCGTTCCGCCAGCTGACACGGGCGGCGCTGAGGTGGACGGTGGCAGTGGTGCGAGGGGTGGCTGGGGAAGAGGGGGTGGAGGAAGTAAAGAGGGAAGGAGTGGAGGAGAGAGAAGGGGAGGGAGTGAGAGTGAGTGGTGCTGGCAAAAGGAGGTTGGCATCGGTGCGCATGCTTCTAGGCAACATCTTGAAGCAGGTAACATGGAAAGGGAAGGTGTTGTTACTACAATCTGGTACAATCTATTGTGATTGTATGTCCGATTTCTTTCGCTTGAAAGGGCTGGAAAGACTTACTAGGCATTTGTGGAGTTCATAAATAAGGCACCTCAAATGTTGTTCATTCTCCAACTTCCAAGCACGTATGCGTATCTGAAAGCTCCTTCCTTTCTCTTGTTTGTCCGCAGGGAGACCATTTTTCTGATGTTGGGGAGTTTGGAGAGTTGAAAGCAGCTTTGGGGGCAGTTAGCACTATGGAGGCTAGAGGGGAATAGTAGTGGTGGTGACACTACTGGTGTAACATGAATTTGAAATTTGTGTTACTTCCTTGAATAATATTAGCATACCAGACCGACAGGTTTAGAATACCGTCACCCCCCGGATAAGTCCCCATGGGGAGGTATAATAAAACAGGGTTTTTTAGGGGGGTGGGCTTATAATTTGTTGGAAACAATTGATTTAGCGCATCTGTCGTGTCGAAACACCAAGTCAGAAGCGAAGCGAAACATATCGAAGCATTAGCGAGTCAACCCTCGGAGGTTGAACAACTGCTGGAGGTTACGCGAAAGTCAAAGGTCAGCGACCTTTGACCTGACAAGTACAGCGCGACAGCAAGGACAAACAACTGACTCGCTATTGAGCAGTTGCCCGAGTCGTCACTGTGTCGAACCGCAACAGCAATAGTAAAACGGTTATTAACTGTATCTCTTCGTATTTCTTGTACTCTTATAAAAGCTTGTATCCTTTTGTTTTAATCAATCTACTTTGCCCTCACATACCAGCGCAAGGTGGTTCACAAACTTCTCATTAAACGCTTCCGCTATTACATTGTCCTACTCTGAATTTAGTCCTGCAAAGATCCTAAGGGCTTTTCTCAGCCCAACATGGCATGAGAGCTATCAGGACAAATTCAACTGCAATCAAGACACCCACAACATCACAAGGCATGGCAACGCAGAAGGAGAGAAGCTCCTCTAACGGCTCTCCCGGTACTACTCCTACTCCACCTCCTGCCTCTGGCTTACAGACAGAGGAGGGCACAACGACAAGACCAGCAGCTGGGTCTACTGAAACTCCCGCAAATCAAGCCGCGGCCTTCGACCCAGACATGATGGAGAAATTCTTCTCCTTCATGTCCTTCTACGAACAACATCAGCAAGGGGCACCTGCGCAGTCAAACAACAGCAACAACAACAACGCAACACCGATGAGCCTCGACGGTTCATCCTACGCACGAGGAAATCAGCAACAACCTACCTTCGCTCCGTACGAGCCCCAGCGAGGTTCCATCAGCTTCATGCCGCACCAGCAACCTTCACCTGGACAAGAGAAGACGTTGGACGCACTCCAAGTTCAGTCGCAATTCGCACATGTCTTGAAACTGCAAACTTCAAGACCATTCGACGGGAAGGACTTCTTCACCTGGTCATTCGAGTTTGAGCTAATGATGGAAGGCGCGCAGATACTCGGCTTCTTCGACGGGTCCCTGCCATATCCAACAAACGGCACGCAATACGACAAACAGCAGTACACGTATTAGTCGATGATGGCGTACACAATTCTACTGAGGAACATCACTCCGAATCAGCAACAGAACATTCGGTCTTACCGGGGATACGGCAACTCCGCCGAACTCGCATACAACCACCTGAAGAACCTGTATCAAGCAACAGACAGCGTCAATCAGAGTCGGTTGATGGCGCAATTGACAACAGTGGAAATTAAACCGGGCGAAAAAAGAGATGGCGTATATCAGTCGCTGTCGCGAGTTGCGCGACAAGCTTCTTCGATGCGGAGGAACGATATCCGAAGACGCCTTCGTCACAGTCATCATCGGCGGCCTTGGTCCGCAATGGCGCTCCACCCGAGCCATTCTCCGAGCCCACGGGAAAATCTCCGAAGCAGCTCTCTGCGCCGAGATTCACGCCGAACAGCAAGACATGGACCTACAAGAAGAAAAACACAAGAGGAAGACGTCAGTGCCTGAGTTCGCCTTCCACACTCAACGGCGCTACAACAACATCAACAACCATCGGCAAAACAAGTACCAAGGTCAACAACCCGTACCTCCGTTCTGTCATCTCTGCAAGACGTCAGGTCATCCCCGCACACACTGCCCTAACCGGCAGCAGTCAGCACCAACGCAGCGGCAGCTCCGACCTTCAAGCAGTCAAGTCGCCTCAACGCAAGCAAATTCCACCACTCAAGTTCAAACGTCAACAACGTCGACGGGACAACCTGCACAAGGAACAAGGAACATCGTCAGCTGCATGGCAAGATTGACCGACTCCAGCATCACTGAATCGCCGCCGCACTACTCACCAGAAGAACAACTCGACGAAAGGACTCCACGTCAAGAGTCGCTGCAACCGAACCCAACGTACGCAGCCGTCGCCCAAAACGAACCGTCTGGGAAGGATACCTGGTTCTTGGACAGTTGCTGCGGACAACACATGTGCTCTTCAGGTCTCTTCGTTCAACGGGAATACCAACTCCAACGGGAAGTCGTCATCACCGTCGCGAACAACCAGAACCTGTGCACACGACGACAAGGCGTAGTTCAACTTCAGTCACGAGAGACAAACGTCATACTACAAATGTCGAAGGTTTTAATAGCAGAAGGACTCGGCTACAACTTACTAAGCGTTAGTTAACTGATGGTGAAGGGCATACACCTCGAAGCAGATATCACCATGTCAGATTTATATGACATAGCTACTGTAGGCTAGAGTGGGGTAGCACATATGGGGTACAGTTTTCTAGGGTTTGCTTCTTGTACCCAACTTTCACTTAGTCATTCTCATTCCTGTTTTTCTTGATTCACATGGTATAGAGCGGGTTCCTACATGGGACCGTTCCTTCCTAAGGGCCCACCATAAGAATTTTTTTTTTTAGCTGCCCGCGCACATTGCGCCCTGCCCTAAATTTTTTTTTTAGCGGCCCCTACGCTGCCCCTACGCGGCCCCTACGCCGCCTCCCACGCGCCCCCTATGCGGCCCCTGGCGGCGCCCTGACGAGGCCCCTGCCGGCGCCCTATCGCGGCCCCTGACGCGCCCCCTGGTGGCGCCCTGACGCGGCCCCTGGCGGCGCCTGACGCGGCCCTGACGCGGCCTGACGCGGCCCCTGGCGGCGCCCTGACGCAGCCCCTGCCGCGGCCCTGACGCGGCCCTGCCGCGGCCCTTGACGCGGCCCTGACGCGGCCTGCCGCGGCCCCTGCCGCGGCCCTGAAGCGGCCCCTGACGCGGCCCTGACGCGGCCCTGACGCGGCCCTGCCGCGGCCCCTGGCGGCGCCCTGACGTGGCCCCTGACGCGGCGCCCTGACGCGGCCCCTGCCGCGGCCCTGACGCGGCCCTGCCGCGGCCCCTGACGCGGTCCTGACGCGGCCTGCTGCGGCCCCTGCCGCGGCCCTGAAGCGGCCCCTGACGCGGCCCTGACGCGGCTCTGCCGCGGCCCTGACGCGGCCCCTGCCGCGGCCCCTTACGCGGCCCTGACGCGGTCCTGCCGCGGCCCCTGGCGGCGCCCTGACGCGGCCCCTGACGCGGCGCCCTGACGCGGCCCTGCCGCGGCCCCTGACGCGGCCCCTGACGCGGCCCCTGTCGCGGCCCCTGACGCGGCCCCGCCACCTACCTTTCTGGCCCCGCCGCCTCCTCTCAGCGGCCCCGCCGCCTCCTCTCAGCGGCCCCGCCGCCTCCTCCCAGCGGCCCCGGACGCCGCCCTCTCAGCGGCCCCGCCGAGCCGCCCAGCAGCCTAGCCGCCCAGCAGCTGAGCCACCGAGCCGCCCAGCAGCCGAGCCGCCGAGCCGCCCAGCAGCCGAGCCGCCCAGCAGCAGAGCCGCCGAGCCGCCCAGCAGCCGAGTCGCTGAGCCGCCCAGCAGCCGAGCCGCCGAGCCGCCCAGCAGCCGAGCCGCCCAGCAGCCGAGTCGCCGAGCCGCCCTGCAGCCGAGCCGCCCGAGCCGCCCTGTCCGGTAAGAGCAGCGCCTCTCTCACAGCACTGCCCTCACCCCACTGTTTGCGCTGCTAGTCTACTACTGTCATGGCTACCCCTAGTGTCCTCGCTTTTGACGCTGAGGGTCGGGCCATTGACTTTGACGTCTGGATAGATGACCTGCAGCTTTTCTTACAGTGCGATAGGGCAGACGGCCTCTCCCTCTTTGACCTCACTTCTGGTGCCTCTCCTGCTCCCGCCACTGATGCTGACGCAACTGTTCGCTCCCAGTGGGCCACGCGCGATGCTGCTGCACGTCTTGCTGTGCGTCGCCACCTGCCTACCTCTGAGCGTGCGCACTTTAGCCAGTACAAGAGTGCTCAGACCTTGTACGACGCTGTAGTTGCACGCTACTCCTCCCCTGCCACTGCTGCACTGAGCCGCCTCATGCTACCGTACCTCTTCCCTGACCTTGCTGCCTTTCCCACAGTCGCTGACCTCATTACGCACCTCCGCACTAGTGACACTCGCTACCGCGCTGCGCTTCCTGCTGAGTTCTGCGCCAAGAACCCCCCCCCCATGTACATCACCCTCTACTACATCGTCACCCGTCTCCCTGACTCCCTTCGCGTAGTCAGGGACCACTTCCTCTCGGTTTGTCCCACCACTCTCACCGTTGACCTCCTCGAGAAGGCCCTCCTAGCAGCAGAAAAGAGCATAGTCGCTGTAGGAGCCTCTCGTGGTGACCCTCGCACCCCCATCTTTGAGGGGTGTTCCCCCTCCCCTCTTTTGCCCTCTGTTGCCTCTGCTGCTGCGGCCGACCTCGCTGGTTTGGAGTCGGTTGGGGCAGCGTCTACCCCTAGCGGGAGACGCCGCCCTGGCAGGGGCAAGGGGGGCAGGGGCGCTGGAGGAGCTAGCGGGGGCGGTGGAGGCGGCGGTGGAGGTGGTGGAGGAGGTGGGGGTGGCGGTGGGAGTGGTGGCGGGGGTGGAGGTGTAGGTGGCGGCAGTGGAGGCGCAGGAGGCAGCGGCGGTGGCGGAGGGAGCGGAGGTGGCGGCGGTGGAGGAGGAGGCGGCGGAGGAGGTGGAGCTGGTCGGGGTGGCGCTGCGCAGAGGGTCAGCTCCGGTGGTGGTCAGCGCCAGCAGCAGCAGCAGCAGCAGCAGCGCACTCGTGACGTCCCCTCCCCTCAGCAGCTCCGTGAGTGGTACACTGCACGCCAGAGGGGTGGGGGTGCTGGTCCGTGCACCTACGTCCTGCGCACCGGCGACCGCGCGGGTGAGCAGTGCGGGGGTGCGCACTCCACCCAGCGCTGCTTTGGCCGCCTCACGGACGCTTGGCGTCACCAGTTCCCTGAGGCCACTGAGATCCCCCGCTGGGGTGAGCTGTCTAGGGCGGGTGTAGCTGTCTTTGACCTTGACTTTGATGCTATTCTTGCTGCCGTGTATACTGTGACTATTAGTGATGAGGGTGACTGTTACCGGTGTTTTCCGCCCGACCCGGGCATTGAGACTGCTGCTCTAGGTACTGGTGAGGCTGCTGCTCTAGGTGCTAGCGAGGCTGCTGCTCTAGGTGCGTCTACTCCCTCAGGTGCTGGTGAGTCTGCTCTCTCAGGTTCTGCGTCGGCTTCGGCCTCCCACACCTTCACACTTGACTCGGGGGCTTCTCGCTCCTTCTTTCGAGACCGCACCACACTCACGCCGCTTGGCCGGCCAGTTGCGGTCTCCCTGGCAGACCCCTCTAGGGGTCCTGTCCTTGCTCACTTCTCCACTGTCCTCCCGTGTCCGGCGGCCCCCTCTGGCACCCTGTCTGGTCTCTACCTCCCCTCGTTCTCTACGAACTTGGTGAGTGGTGCTGACCTACAGGATGCGGGGGTTCACCAGTTCACTCCTGCGAGTCAGCGGGTGACCCACTGCACGGACGCTCGGACAGGCCGCCACCTGGCCACGTTTACACGTCGGCCAGGGTCGAGCCTGTACACACTGACCACTGCGTCTCCTCCAGTCCCTGCGTCTGGTCAGGTAGTTGCGTCGGGTCAGGTGTTTGCTGCAGCGTCCAGGTCTGGTCCTGAGTCTGCCCCCTGCTCGTGTCGCCTCCTGTCTCACGAGACTCTCCTCTGGCACCACCGCCTTGGCCACCCCTCCCTGCTTCGTCTCCGGAGCATGGCCTCCCGTGTCCTTGTCTCTGGTCTTCCCCGGTCCCTCCCTCCCCTTCCTCCGGGGCCAGGCCCTACCTGCGTCCCCTGTGTCGAGGGACGGCAGCGGGCTACCCCTCACTCCTCCCAGTTTCCTCCGACAGAGGCCCCGCTGCAGACGCTTCACATGGACGTGTGGGGCCCGGCCCGCGTCCGTGGACAGGGTCACGAGCGCTACTTCCTGCTGGTGGTTGACGACTACTCGCGTTACACCACAGTCTTCCCCTTGCGCAGCAAGGGTGATGTCACTGAGGTGTTGATCGACTGGATCCGCGCAGCTCGTCTCCAGCTCAGGCGGAGCTTTGGCTCGGACTTTCCTGTTCTGCGTCTGCACTCTGACAGAGGCGGAGAGTTCTCTTCTGGCCTTCTGCGAGCCTACTGTCGTGCACGAGGCATCCGCCAGACCTTCACGCTTCCGGACTCTCCACAGCAAAATGGGATTGCTGAGCGCCGCATTGGCATGGTCATGGACGTCGCCCGTACGTCCATGATGCATGCGGCTGCCCCCCATTTTCTGTGGCCGTTTGCGGTTCGGTACGCGGCGCATCAGATCAACCTTCAGCCCAGGGTCTCCATGCCGGAGACCTCCCCAGCTTTGCTGTGGACGGGGAAGGTTGGCGATGCGTCTGCGTTCCGTGTCTGGGGATCTCGGGCGTTTGTCCGCGACTTGTCTGCGGACAAGCTGTCCCCTCGTGCTGCTCCTTGCGTCTTCCTGGGTTTCCCCCCTGACGCCCCAGGGTGGCAGTTCTACCACCCCACCTCTCGCCGTGTTCTGTCCTCCCAGGACGTCACGTTCGACGAGTCGGTCCCCTACTACCGCCTCTTCCCCTACCGCACTCCGTCCCTCCCCCCGCCACCGCTCTTCCTTGTACCAGGTCCCCCCCCGGTAGACCCCCTCCCCCCTCAGGGTCCTGCCCCTTCAGGTGTGTCCCAGGTAGACGCTGTTGAGCCTGTCGAGGTCGCTGGTGACTCTGGTGCTGCTGAGGGTGCTGAGCTTGGGGGTGCTGACTCTGGGGGTGCTGAGCGTGTGGGTGCTACGCCTGGGGGTGCTGAGCCTGGGGGTGCTGAGCCTGGGGGTGCTGAGTCTGGGGGTACTACGACTGGGGGTGCTGAGCCTGGGGGTACTACGCCTGGAGGTGCTGAGCCTGGGGGTGCTGCGTCTGGGGGTGCTGAGCCTGGGGGTACTACGCCTGGAGGTGCTGAGCCTAGGGGTGCTACGCCTGGTGGTGCTGTGCCTGGCGGTTCACCGGGTGCTCCCTCTCGCCGAGAGCCACTCTCTCCCCAGGAGCTGCGTGAGTGGTTTGCCCGGCGCTGGAGGCGAGCTGCTGGAGCTGCTGGAGCTGGAGGTGCTGCGGGTACTGGAGGTTCTGTTGCTTCTGAGGGAGCTGGTGCCACGGGTCCCGGAGGTGCTCGTACTGGGAGTTCTGGAGCTGCTGGACCTGCGGGTACTTCTGGAGCTGGAGTTGCTGCGGGTGTTGGCGCGGAGGCTACTGCTGTCGGTCCTGGAGGCGGTCCTGCTGGGGGTACTACTGGTGCTGCTGGGGGTTCAGGAGCTGGAGCTGCTACTGGTGCTGGTGCTGCCCCTGCGGGTGCTGGTGCTGTCCCTCCTGTGTCTGGAGTCGCCGCGCGGCCTCGGCCGTACTTCGTTCCGCTCCTTCAGCAGGTTCTTGGTCTCCCGCCTTCTACTGGTCCTCCTCCTCCCTTAGAGTGTCCACAGCCTGTCTCGTCGCAGTTACAGTTACAGCCGGCCTCCCCACTGCCTGCTCCGTCTCCCTACACTGGTCCTACTGGAGGTCTTGCTGAGCGTCGTGAGCCTGCGTCTCGCCCTGCGTCGCCTGTCCATGCTGCTCGCACTAGTGGTCGCGGTTCGCGTCAGCGTCCTCCTCCTGTCCCTGGCACGCACCGGATGTCTCTGCGTCCGTCCACTGCTCCTCTGCGTGCCCCTTTGCCTTCTCCTCCTGAGTCTTCTCTTCCTACTCTTGCCGACCCGGAGTCGGACTCTCTTCGCGCTGCCAGTCCTACTGTCACGCGTCTCCTTGCTACGGTTGTCACTGACCCTTCCTTTGAGTCCACTGCTGCGTCTGCTCTAGTTGCTGAGCTCGTCGACTTTGCTGCTCGCTGTCGCCTAGACTACGTCGCCAGTCTTGTTGCTGAGTCTGAGTCTGTCTGTCCTCCGTCCGTCGGGGGTGAGTGTGCCCTTGGCACGGACGTCCTTGAGGACAGGCAGGAGGAGTTCCAGTGCTTGGCCGCTGCTTCACCTCATCTCGTGTCCGTACTGCTTACCCCTGAGGGAGACCCGGATGCACTTGACATCCCGACTCCGCGCTCTTACGCGGAGGCGATAGAGGGTCCCTACTCCTCTCAGTGGCAGGCAGCTATGGACGCAGAGATGGCTTCCTGGAAGTCCACAGGCACCTACGTTGACGCTGTTCCCCCTCCTGGGGCGAACATCGTCAGTGGCATGTGGATTTTCAGGGTGAAGCGACCGCCGGGTTCTCCGCCTGTCTTCAAGGCGCGTTACGTGGCTCGTGGCTTCAGTCAGCGGCAGGGAGTTGACTACTTTCAGACCTTCTCTCCCACCCCGAAGATGACCACTCTTCGGGTACTGCTGCACGTAGCTGCTCACCGTGACTACGAGCTACACTCTCTTGACTTCAGCACTGCTTTCTTGCAGGGCAGCCTGCACGAGGAGATCTGGCTGCGTCGCCCACCTGGCTTCACTGGGTCTTTTCCTCCTGGCACCCAGTGGAGCCTACGGCGGCCAGTCTACGGTCTCCGCCAGGCACCGCGTGAGTGGCACGACACACTGAGGACTACACTTGCGGCTCTTGGGTTTGCTCCCTCTACTGCCGACCCGTCGCTGTTTCTGCGCACCGACACTTCTTTGCCGCCGTTCTACATCCTCGTGTACGTCGACGACTTGGTCTTTGCCACAGCTGACACTGCTGGACTAGCCCACGTGAAGTCCGAGCTGCAGAAGAGACACACGTGCACTGACCTGGGTGAACTGCGCAGCTACCTTGGCTTGCAGATCACTCGGGACAGAGCACGCCGCACCATTACCCTGACTCAGTCACACATGGTGCAGCAGGTCCTTCAGCGCTTCGGCTTCACGTACTCCTCGCCTCAGGCCACTCCTCTGCCTACTCGCCACTCGCTCTCAGCTCTGCCTTCGGATGAGTCCGTAGAGTCGAGTGGCCCGTACCCAGAGCTTGTTGGCTGCCTCATGTACCTGATGACCTGCACACGACCTGACCTTGCATACCCTCTTAGCATTCTTGCACGCTATGTTGCTCCTGGGAGACACAGACCGGAGCACATGGCTGCAGCGAAGAGGGTGTTGCGCTACTTGTGCAGTACGTCGGGCATGGGGCTTGTGCTTGGAGGGCAGAGTCCAGTGGTCCTTACTGGGCACGCAGACGCTTCTTGGGCTGACGACCAGGCTACGCAGCGGTCGTCACAGGGTTACACCTTCAGCCTTGGTTCCGGCTCTGTTTCGTGGCGGGCTACTCGCTCGTCTTCTGTTCTCGGCTCCAGTTGTGAGGCTGAGATCTACGCAGGAGCCATGGCTGCACAGGAGCTTCGCTGGCTCACCTACCTGCTGACTGACCTCGGAGAGTTGCCTCGTTCTCCTCCAGTGCTGTACGTAGACAACAAGGCCATGCTGGCCTTGTGTCGGGAGCAGCGACTGGAGCACAGAACGAAGCACATTGCTCTCCGCTACTTTCTTGCTCGTGAGCTGCAGCAGCGTGGTCAGCTGCGTCTTGCGTACGTGGCCTCTGAGGCCAACACTGCTGATATCTTTACCAAGGCACTTGCGCCTTGTGACCATCAGCGCTTCTGTACTCAGCTGGGCCTTGTGCCTACCTTGCCTCACTTGCTCACCTCTTGACCTTGCTTGTACTGTTACATATATATATACCTGCTCTTGTTTGTCTAGCCTTTTTTTTATATATATGTGTACTCCTGCTTGTGAACTGGCCTTGTGGCCTTGAACTTGTGCTCGGAATGTGTGGTGACTTTGTGATCCACCCTGAGCTTGTTTTTTGCTTTGCTTTGCTTGACTGGTCTTGTGACCCCTTGTTCTCCCCCACTTTGCCTATGGGGGTGTGTCAGATTTATATGACATAGCTACTGTAGGCTAGAGTGGGGTAGCACATATGGGGTACAGTTTTCTAGGGTTTGCTTCTTGTACCCAACTTTCACTTAG